CATACTAAGCACTGCCCCACAGTCAGCCTTCAGCAGTGAACAAAAGAGATCAGGCCCTGCAGCTGTGTATCTGAGAGAAGCACCGAGGAAGTTCTCATGGTCAGAGGACCCACTGAGCAAGCAAAGATGGATCTTTGGGGCCGTGCCTGTGGCTCAAAGGAGTAAGATGCCAGCCCCATATACCAGAGATGGTGGGTTCAAAGCCAGCCCTGGCCAAAAACTGCAATAACAACAAAAATAAAATGGATTTTTGGATACCAGCTGATCTGATTCAGCTGTGGTTCACCAAATACATGCTGTAAGATACTGAGTAACATAATTACCCACTCCAGTCTGTGTATTCTTATCTGTAAAATGAACATTATATGGCCTGACATAAAAAGGTGCATACAAATGAGGCATAATTTTAATACCTTTTTGATGTTGATCTCATAGCTTCGATGTCCCATACCATAGTGGGACATATTAGGCACTCAGCACATTGGTAAGTGTAATTGAACACCATGCTTCCCCTGGTCATCCTCATTTAATCAGAAAATAGATTTTGTAGCCAATTGGGCGGTGGGGGAGGGGGTAAGGAACTTCCTTCTGATTCTCACCACCCTAGAAACAGGTCATAACAATATTGCTAAGATCATTTAGATGGATCAGATTGTTCTCAAAAGGAATTGATAGAAAGATTTTTGTCACATCGTATGTTTTAAATCCCCTAAATACGTGACAAAGTGAGACTTTGTCTCTAACAATAAATAAATAAATAAATAAATAAATAAAATTTAAAAATCCCCTAAGTACCACTTTATAAAAGATCTTTGAAATTTGGAACACTTAAAAAAATGCTGAGCAAGTTACACAAGATGAAAATTTAACCACATTTAAGGACTAAGTTCTGTATAATACAGACATATACTCATTCTAACTGCCCTAAATAACAACAGCCTTGAAGGAAGCTGGAAATTTTAAATTTCTAAAGGATATGGCAGGGAATTATGGTTACATTCTTATTCCTTATACGTAACTATACTTCTAAACATTTTCTATAAATATGAAATAGTACTGCAAAGAAACTTGCATGTCAAACTAACCAAAAAGAAAAATGCCTTTTAGTTTTGCAATAGAATCCAGACTGGAAGAATTTTATATTTTTTCTTATTATTGTAAAGACTGTTGAAATAAATTATGACTAGGGTCAGAGCAGAAATGAAGGAAGGAAGAAGGAATTAAATGGTATTTATAAGATTTTGCTTTTCTGTATGAGATGGATGGATTGTTTGTTAGGGAAGATGCAGAAAATAAAAGAATGAAATGACAGATTGCATGAGAATTTCCGTTCTGTTGAAGTTTGTCCTCACCACTGATAGGGAACTCCTAATTTCATTAGGGATTATTAGCCTATAAAAGCACGTACATGGTGACATTTAGAACATTTCAAAAATGACTCCATGAATCACTAGTCATGCAACAGGATTTGGATTCTCTTGAATTGCTATTTAATGACTATCTACTAATGTTTCAGGTTAGCCCTTATGTATTGGTTTAACCACTGAGATGCAATCCTTAGATAGGATCTGGTAGCTTTCTTGGAATAACAAACCACAGCCTATAACTAAGTTAGGACAGTGTTTGGATGAGCTGGAGAAAATGATAAATGATGTATTCGGATTTTTAAATCCTCATCTGGCCAACTTTGCACTTTATTTCAAACAGCTGTGGCCCATTTGGAAGCCATTTTGTAACTCAACTAAATACTAATATTTACTGTCTGAATCACATACCTTTAAAATATTTGTCTTTCCCTGAGAGTGAAGAACCATTTCTTTTCCAAACTTAATGTTGACATAAATCAGACCTATCCTCACGGGTTGCAAGATTCTCACACTTGATCTCTGCAGTTGTGGTTTATTGCCAGATGCAGTCCCAGGAGATCTTTGATTTCTGCAATTTCTAAAGAAAGGACTTTATCCTTCCATAATTAGAGGCTTTGAAACATTTTTCAGAAACTTCTTACAATAATAAAATAATTTTTTAAGTATCTGTTCTAGAGTAAAAATTTCCTACTTAACCTGCATGGGGAATTCTTAGCTACTGTTTCCATGCTTTTTCTTCAGACATTTCTCTTAACTACAGAATTCAAACAGCACCCTTGTCCAGCGTTAGAAAGTGACATTAGAAAGACATAAAGAGTGTATAAAATTGGCACCATCAAGTAGTTCTGACAGGTGGAGATTCTAATTATTGTTGAGGAGACAGCCTCAGATTTTCATTCTGGCCTGGGCTACTCCCCTTTAAACACAATTACAGAAAGCTACCTCCTGAAATTACCCCCTTTGGATTCTCCCTCAGAACATCTGCAGCTATTCAGGAAGGAGTGGATCCATCAATCCATGTAACGTGACATGATGAGTTTACTCTTTTCTAAAGTGGTGTTTAGGCACCTTTGCAATGATCCCACATTGCTGATCATCAATAGCCAATAGGGAGCCATTTGTAGAAAACAGGGTATTTTGAGCACTAGTCAGGTAGCTCCTAACAGCATCGATTCCGTCATGAAACCGGGGCCACACGTTCAGCCGGAAATGCATGGAGTTGGCCACCTTGCTTCCTTGGTTATTAAACAACAAATTTCAGGAAAATTAACACTGTGTGATGTTAACAGCCAGTAGCCCAACAAACAGCCAGCAGTATGGTGACACTGTTGGCTGTTTTACTAAAAACCAAAGAAAGAAAGATGATAGAGGCTACACAGGGGCCAACTGGCAATAAATACCACAGTCTCTGCTGCTGCTTAGAAAATGCCACAAACCAAAGGTGTGTGTGTCATATTTGCCTTTGAAAGCAAAACGAACCTTAATGAGAAGAATGGAGAGTAGCATATTAGTAAAATCAGGGTACAACAGTGTAGGTATACAAACATGTGTTACTATCGATGGTGTATTTACTAGTATTTACTTCAAAGTCTTGAATAGGTCTTCCATCTGCATAGGAGAAAACCTCTTAAAACAGCTTTTAGGGTATTAAAAGCAAATGTAAACATTGTCAGTTGAAAGTCACTAATTACAAATTATATCTTGGAGAAGAGGATTAAGAAAAAAACTATAAACAGAAATCTGTCTCTTAAGAAAAAGAATATATCAGTAAAAGCAGGAGAGCTCTGTGTTTCCGATTGCGGCCGCGCTGAGGCACACAACACAATGCATTTATTTGCTTTCTTGTGTGAATTTCAAAATATCTGAATTGGACTTCCAGTAATTAGTTCAGTAGATTTAGAACCCTCCTGTACCTGAACCAAAGGATTTATTGACTTATTGCTTTTAAAAAACAAAACCAAACAAAAATCTCCTAAATGGAATTGTTAAAGTTCCTTTAGTTTCGCACTTAGTAAAGATGGCACAGTGATTATATGATAATATTGCTTTAGTTTTTAGTGGTTTATTTTAATTGGTTTTTATTATGCCAAAATGCCAGATACAAAAGTCAAGACTGAAGACCTCCCTTAAGGACAATAATTAACCCATTCGTTTCATAGGGTCCTGTTGTAATTCTGTTGACCAGGTTAATCATTTGTTTAACTTAAGTAAAATGTTCTGCTTTAATTAATATATTCCCAAACAATATTTCTCACCTCTTGAATTTTGAATTTTTCATAGTTTGTACTAAGCTCAGTAGACCACAGTCAATATTGCAAACCATAAATTGACCTCTGCTGCCAACTGGCAGATATTTGGTCTTTAAGCATAATTTATACTTAACTACTCTGACTAATTCTAAAGCTGCTTTTCTCTCCTACTGAACTGTGTGTCTGTTTTTGAGATCAGGATTACAAAATACTAGCTGGGCCTTATTCTCTGCTATAAAATTCAAGGTATGGGGTGGTGCCTGTGGCTCAGTGAGTATGGCAATGGCCTCATATACTGCAGGTGGTGGGTTCAAACCCAGCCCCAGCCAAAAACCGACAAAAAAAA